CTGTGTGCACACTGGTCACCCCTGCGTGCTTTCCCTCCTGTGCTGTGAATTGTACACACAGCACTGGAAAGGCCTTGTGTGAAGAACCAACAAGAGTCAACAATGCCATCAGGCTGCTTTGTGGTGCTGCTTTGATGCTCACCGTCTGCTTGAAGGTTAGGCTGCAACATCTTTTCACATGGGCAGCTCCTCGGAGATCTCTTTTGTGTAGAATGAGGTGGGGTCCTAAAGAAGTAGATCCCCCAGTTGCTTCCCATCCATCACAATTGTCTATGATTAGTGTTTTCTGGCTCAAGAAAACATCAGGACTCAAGGGTGGGATCTGGTTTTTCTGATCTGTCTTTTTAGGGTCACCATCCTGCCACAGTTTGTCCATAATGGAACAGTATGAACTACCTCTGGTGATTACTCCTGAGACATCGTTTGGAAACACAGCTTTCACACACATTTGCTGGGATGAGTCAGGCTCTGACTCCCCTGTTGAGAAAAAAGATGAACAGATTCAGTGAGCATGACGGAGGTGGAATCAGAATCTGAACACAGAGAAATCTGTGTCAGGAAGTAATGATTCTGACAATGGTGAGAATGGTGAGAAATGCTATCATGGCCCTTACGATACGCCACACACTTATGTAATATAGCCACTTTCTCTGCAGTGGATACATAAACTCATTGAATCCTCACAATCATCCCACAGTGCATCTATGCCTTGCTTTCCTCGTGAGGAAGTAGAAGCCTCAGTCAGTGTGGGCAGGATCACTTACACAATTTGTTGGGAAACTGGGTTTGGTGCAAGACCAATTTATGCAAGAGGTCCAGTGCTATAAATATAGTTGGACAAATAAATAAGGGAGAAAACAGACACAGCTATCACTGGGCACAGTCAACAGCCAGCCAAAGTCAAAAGAAAGGGATGGAAGCCATCTTCTCACCTGTTTTGTTGTTGTTCCATCTTTTTCTTTCCGTCTGTTTGTAAAGATGGCCTACAGACTTCACCATGCTCTGCAAGCCTTTCTCCTAATCTTTACACTCCCAGGTTTTTATTTTTTGTATCTTATTTATCTACTTACTGTGTTCACACGTGTACATGAGTTTACTCATGCATGTGGAGGTCAAAGGTTGGGTGTCATCTTAAACCACTTTCAATCTTGTCTTTTGAGATTCCCAGCACCCACATGACCACTCACAACCATCTGTAACTCCAAGTTGAGGGGACTCAACACTCTCTCATGGCTCTGTAAGCACCAAGCACACACGGGCAAACAGGCATCCATGAGGCAAAATCCTCATACACAGGATACACAGAACTCCAATATAGCTCAACAACATCAACATAAAAATGGTCAATTACTCCTAAGCATTTACTCATATCCTCTAACTCAGTGGTTCTCAACCTGTGTGGGTTACAACCCCTAGGGGAAGGGTTGTAGAATGACCCTTTCATAGAGGGTTGCATATCAGATATTCTTATTATAATTTCTAACAGTAGAAAAATTATAGTTATGAAGTAGCAATGAAAATAACTTGAGGGTTGGGGTCACCAAAACATAAGGAATTAAAAGGTCACAGCATCAGGAAGGTTGAGAATTACTGCTTTAACTCAACTAAGCTTGCTTGGTTTGCTCTTTTAGTACAATTCAAAATTACTTTCTGGAGTAACCACTCCATGTGTCCTCAGAATCAACTCCCACGTCCCCTCGGACTGAGGGTGATGCTACTTCCTATGAATCCTGACAGCAGGTCTCCCCACACCCTCATGCTGATGGCTGCCCCTCAAACAGCCTTTCCTGAAACACTCAGCACACAAAGGCACCGCTGCTATTCTACACTGTCCACTCCAACCTGTTTCCTTCCATTTACTTTAGCAGACACTGAAAAGTCTTCTAAAACAGGAGGAAACAGTATCTTCTGCTTATCTTTAGGAATTGAATACGTATAATTCTTTATTTGCTGAAACTGCTGTTCACAATGCTTAACTCTGACGAACAGCAGCAGCAGCAACAGAGAAGACAATCTAACTGACAGGGTATATGCAAGGGGGAAGACCAGCAGAGCAGACGTTAACAGAGACCTGTAACTGTGGCTCAGAGCACAAGTGAGGAAAACTACTCAGGGATATTTGAAAGAACTGATGGATTCTACATCATACAAAATAATTGAATATTTGCATCAAATCATCAGGAAGAAAAGAAAGAAACAGACATTATTTTTGCTGTAAGAGAAACTGTTAATAGAATATTAACCAAATTCCTAAGTGGAACCCACAAATATCATTAGGAACAAGTTTAAATAAGGATATAGGGAATTGGTTTGTACTGATCTCAGTGGAATTAAGAGACAGTCATGTAAGCTGAATACTAGAAGATAAAAAAATGAGAAGGAAACATGAAATAATAGACACAAGAATACAGAAATGCCAAGAAACCAAAGTTTCTCATACAAAAACACTTTCTAATTTGGATGAAGACAACCCTAGTTTTTCTTGTCTCAAAACTAAGGAAGGCCATCCACAAGACTAGTCTTCTATATAGCAGGTTAACCACACACAGAGACTAACACACACATCATCACAGTTTGAATGTGAGGCCTGTCGGGTTTCATTTCTGTTGCTGTGATAAAACACTCAAACAAAAAGCCATTCGGGGGAAAAAGGACTTATTTTAGATTACCATTCTAGGTTAGAGTCCATCAGTTCAGGGAATTTGAGGTGGTGGGAAACTGAAGCAACTGGTCACATCACAGGCACAGTGAAGAGAAGAGGAAGACTGAACACACACATCTCTACTGCTCGGCTGGATTTCTGTACTCCTGCACAGTCTGTGACCTGACTGCAGGACAGCGCTGCCCACACAGCTGGGTCTTCCCAGGTCAATTAATGCAATCAGTACAGTCCCCAGAGACATGCCCACAGACCAACCTAATGAAGACAGTCCCTCATTAAGACTCTTTACAGGTGGCCCTACATTGTTTCAAGTTGACAAAACTAGCCAAGAGAGCTGAAGAGAATGGCTCTAGAAGGCAGTTCCTATGAGAAAGTATGGTTGGGCTCACAAGATGGCTCATTGGATAAAGAGGCTTGCCATCAAGCCTGATGACCTGAGTTGATTTTGCACGTTGTTCTCAGACCTCCACAGGAGTGAGTGTCCCAGGATTACCCAGAGAAATAGAGACATAAAGGTAGTAAGAGCCAACAATACGGAACATATTAAACAGGAATACAGTGGTGCCACAATTAGGTGGACACAAAAGAAGATCCAGGATGAAAAAGGACACTAATGAAGAGATAAATAAATGAGGTGAAGGAATTAGAAGACAACAAAACGATAAATCATACAAAAAATAATATGTACATAGAAAATCTAGTTATATGACAGATATAATGAGACACTCTAAAAAATTATGAAAAGGTATCACAGAAGGGCCTAGAGAGATAGCTCAGTGGTTAAGAGTGCCTCCTGTTCCTCCAGAGGACCCAAGTTCAGTTCCCTTCACCTACATGGGTGTTCATCATCACCTCTGCCTCTAACACTCTTTGGGCCTCTTCCAACACACACACACACACACACACACACACAGACACACACACACAGACACAGACACACACACACACACTCACACACACACACACACAGACACACAGACACACACAGACAC